TCTCTGTCTCTCTCTCTGTCTCTCTGTCTCTCTGTCTCTCCTTTACCTACCTCCTTACCTCTCTCCCACAAGCCTATGAAGGGCTCTGGACATCTAACCCAGGGCCCAGGCCTTGATACTCTGCTACCCCTCTAATAGCAGGGGTTTCATCTTATCCAGACCACCCATTCACTGGTTTTGGCAGGTGCCCCAAGGAAGCAGTGGGAAGGGGCACAATTTTCCTTTCCCTCCCTCGACTTAGGAAAACATGGGGTGAGGGGAGAGCCATTACCATGCTGAGCAAAGCAGTTCTCTCTCTAGTTCCTTACACTGCCCCCTCTTGAAAAGCATCTCCTGGTAAGAGGCCTTTGTTGAATTTAAAAGCAGCAAGGGATTTTCTAAGGCGCAAAGATGGGAAGGAAGGCAAAGGAAGGGGAGAGAACGGGAAAAGGCAGGGTCTTTTTCAACTGAGGCTGGCTAGCTTGCTCCCTAGATTCTCACTGGGATTGTGGCTGAGTTCTAGAGGCCCTGGGAACAGTGAATTGCTCTACATCTGCATCCTCTCCACCTTGCTTGGTTTTCCCCTAGGAGTTAGAGAGCCATCTTTTGTACAGCTGATGTAATTGAATGCATTTGTGAGTACTCATTTTGGATGCTTGTGGCCAGGGAGTTATAGGCAGGAAGCTAGACAATAAAAGAATAAGCGGGGAGGGCTGTTGGATAAGAGGAGGGAGTAACAGTAAAGGGGAAAAGGAAGTTAAGGGGGAAAAAAGAAAAGAGAGTAGTTTGTGCAGAGGAAGCTAAAACAAAGGCAATGGGCTGAACCTGCAGCAGGGCACCCTCGCCCTTTTGGGGGCTGCCATCGAGTCTAACCAGAGGGTGGTATCTCAAAAAGTAGAAAGATAAGGCTTGCCTCCTCATTGAATAGGGGGCCACAACACAAAGACTCTTTTCTAATTTCCATAAAAACAGTCCACCGAAAGGGTACCTAATAAATACAGCCCTGCTAAAAAGTATGAATTACGTAGACTTTTACAGCTGGAAGAGGGATCTCAGGGCCCATTCAGGCCACCGCCCCTCTCTTCTCTCCACCACCACCGCTTTGAAGCTGAAGAAATCTAAAGGGAAGGTACACAATGTATAGCCACAACTATATTCTCCTGACTTGGGGGAAGGAGAGAAAAAAAGGCACTTTCTGTAATCATGAATCCTTAGCACAAAAAAAAACACTTCCTGAGTTTGGATTTTCAGGCACTCTGGTAAGCTAGTGGGGGATGGATTGGGGATAAAGGGCCCCTCCAATGTCCCTCTAGCCACATCAGATGATGGTGAAGTAGAGAGCTTTAGGGTTCAGAACTTTAATTTTTTAAGGGGGCCCTGAAAAAGGAAACCCCTTGTCCCCATTCCAGCAATTCCGATCACTCACTACTCAGGCCTTAACTCCAAGCAGGAGGGCCACATCCTTTTTATCCAGAACCCTGGAAAGAGCATAGGACAGCAAGTTGACAGTATGTTCTCAAAAGAAAAAAAAAAAAAAAAGTAAGGAAAGGGTTTAGGGAAGATCTCGGCTAGTCATTTTCCTCTAAGCCAGAGGTTCCCAGATGTTGCTTAAGCAACCAGAGCTGGCCTCAAAAGCCCAAAAGAATGCAGTAATAATTTGAGAAGAGGCTTAGGGCTAGAACTAGAGATTTCCCTAAAGAGGCAATGTGCTGTGAGCAGAGTTATATGAAATATTTCATAAATTAACTGTGCTGTCAGCTCAAAACCAGAGCAGTCTTTTGCATATTGCTCTGCAAGTATATGCACCATCCAGATACATTGTTCAAGGCTCTGATTTCCACACTACGATTTGTCCAGGGAATCAAGCCTGTATGTCATCTAGTTCATTTTGCATGCAGACATGCCTATATGCAACCTTCAAAGGCCCTTTTCTTCTAACTGCCCTGGGAAGACAGCAGGACAAATTACAATATAATTAGTAGTATAATAATATACTATATATAATTGTAAATAATATAATAAATCGCTATTATAACTGGAGGAAACTGAGGCCAAGGTAGCAAAGCAATTTACCTAAGAATTGAAAAGGAACATACCTAAATTTTCCACCACCACCCCCCAAGCCAGTATTCTATCCCCTATATTTTCACTCCTAGCATAGAGGCTGAGGAATATGAAACCATCCAGAACTTGGACTCAATCCAAAGCATAGGAAAAGAAGGGGTGTGGGTTTCAAGGGCCTTAAAGGTAGAGGTGGTGTCAAGGAGGAAGCATTTGGGCCCATGTATGGACATGCAGGGCTGAAGCTCTATGTAAAGTCAGCTTCTTGCAGTTGATGAGCTGGGACAGGAAGACATCCACTTTGCAGAACACGTTCTCCATCTACAGACAACATACAAGGTAGGCTTGGACCCAGGGCTAAAGCTCAACAACTTTTGGGCCAAGCCAGAGTGACAGCTGCCATGCTGTGTGTCCCTGCCGTGAGCTCCATGGAGCGAAAAAGGTGTAAGAGAATCCAAACCCTGGGTTTGTACACAAAACCCTGTGCAGTCTCAATCATTAAATGCACTCTTACAAAGTACAGTGGAACCTTGGTTCTCAAACTTAATTCGTTCTGGAAAGCTCTTCGAGAAGCAGTTTGTTCGAAAACGGAATCACTGTTTCCCATTAGAAATCATGTAAATTGAATTAATCTGTTCCAGACCCCTAAACGATTCTGTTTTAACCGTTCTTATATATAGTACATGTCTAATGTACTGCTTAATCTATAAACATACACTTCTTTTGTTAAAGTTATCAACCACCCCCTACTAGCCTTTTACAATCCCTTTTGGCACTCCTTCCAGGGGTGTCTTTCAGGAGGTCAGCATGTGGCTTCCTCACTTTTTCACTTATCACTGTCTCGTGCTGTCACCTGCTGCTTTTTGTTTATCCAAATCAACAAATTTTTCTACCTCTTCAATTGCCTGTGATCGTTGTTTCTTTCACACGCATAGGAACACTAGCGCTTTTGAGGGCCTCTTTCTGTGTTAAAAGTGTGCTAATCATCCATTTCGCAAGCAACAAAAGCAAAGAAAAAACACAAAAATATTCACAGCACAGTTTCCTGAGATTTTCACCAGGGAGGCATAGCAGTAAAATGACTGGCATTCTCCCCTTTGTGTTCTGAGAGACGCTTTTTTTTTTTTTTAATCCTCAACGGAGGACATTTTTCCATTTTTTGTTCAGATAGAGTGGGAGGGAGAGAGAGAGAGAGAAACATCGATGTGAAAGGGACACATCGAGTGGTTGCCACTCACATGACCCCAACCAGGTCTGGGGACAAACTGCAACCGACATACATGCCCTTAGTGGGAACCGAACCGGGGTCTCTCAGGACCACAGGCTGATGCTCTAACCGCTGAGCCAAACCAGCCAGGGCGAGACACGCTTTTTTTATGCTGAGGTATCAGTATGAAAGGGTTGTCAGGTTGAGAACCAAAGTTTTGTTTAACAACAGAAGCATTATTTCCTTTTTTAAAATTATTATTAATTAATTTATTTTTGTTACAGATGTTTCTCCGCCCCCAAACACCCTCCTCCCAATTCCGCCCACCCCCCCAGCATTGTTGTCTATGTCCATTGGTTATGCATACATGCATGTAAGTTCTTTGGTTTATCTCATCTTCCCGCCCAACGCCCACCTTCCCCCACCCCCACACCCCTCTTCTGAGGTTTGTCAGTCTGAACCATGTTCCTTTATATGTCTGTGGGTCTATTTTGTTCATTATATTCCACAAATAAGTGAGATCATATGGTATTTGTCTTTCTCTAATTGGCTTATTTCGCTTAGCATAATGCTCTCCAGGTCCCTCCATGTCTTCTCAAAGGATAAGAGATCTCTCTTTCTTACAGCCACATAGTGTTCCATTGTGTATATGTACCAGAGCTTTTTTATCCATTCGTCTACTGATGGACACTTGGGCTGTTTCCAGATCTTAGCAATTGTAAATAGTGCTGCTATGCAAATTAAAACAACAATGGGGTATCACCTCACACCTGTCAGAATGGCCACCATCAGCAACTCATCAAACAAGTGTTGGCGAGGGTGTGGAGAAAAGGGGACTCTAGTGCACTGCTGGTGGGAATGCAGACTGGTGCAGCCACTGTGGAAATCAATATTGTGTTTCCTCAAAAAATTAAAAATTGAACTTCCATTTGACCCAGTGACTCTACTGCTTGGAATATATCCCAAGAAGCCTGAAACACCAATCAAAAAAAAAAAAAAAAAATACATGTACCCCTATGTTCATAGCAGAGGCATTATTTCCTTGGACAATTTGGTCAACAATTGTTCAAGATGGGAGAAGTTAGAGAACCAAGGTTTGACTCTCCTTGCAGACATTTCGCAGGGCCCACAGATTCACATCCCAGGCCATCTGGTGAAAGAGCTTCTGGAGCTCTTACCGTTAAAGGAAATTGGCACAGTGGAAGGAGAGAACTGGACAGCTGCTTTGGCTTCAGGCTCCGAGATTCCTTCAGAAACCTCTCTCCCTAGATACACACTGACCTCCTCCCACATTTTCTGGGAGGAAGGAGTTGAGGGAGGAGGCAAAGCCTAAGCAGGGAAAGTGAGAAGGGGAGAGAGGAAGAGATAGGATGGGACAGGAGGTCTTTGTGTTCTGGAAGTGAGGAATGATAATGCAGTTAGGTGGACCTTAGATGACTTAGGTTTTCACTGAGGAATTTATCAAAACAGGCTGAGCCCACAGGAGGAGGGGTGGGCTCTTTCTCGTCCTCCTCCCCATCCTCCACCAGCCTTCGCTACTTGCAGAAATGGGCCTCAGGCTACCACAGAGAATAAAGCATCCCAGGACTCTAGAGGCCAACTTGGACCTTGATGCTAATAGACACTGGGAGTGCTGCTGGGAGAAGGGAAGGATGAGAGGGAAGCACAGGGAAACCTAGTTGAGGGCTGTGAACTCAACCTCCTTGTTCTTGTCCATGAGGTGGAAGAGCAAGGACATGAAGCTACAACAAACCTGATTGTGAAGGAAGGTAATGTTGTTCTTGTCCTCCAGACTGCCCACCAGTAACGGCTCTTTCAGACACAGTCTCGCTCCTGTGGGAGGTAAGGGTTGTGTGTCCAGAAGCTTTGCACAAAGCTTCTCACCTCAGGTCTTTGCACCCCAGCTCCAGCACAGCTCTGCGAGCTCGTTTCCATAGCACTCAACCTCCACCCAACAGTCCAGAGAAATAGGACAAAGCCTATTTAATTCACAGCCCTGGGCGACTCACCACTCTCCTGGCGAGCACATACATTGCGTCATCCAAATTTACCATTACGTACTCACATTCAACCTGCCCCTTGATCAGACACACATTCCCCCCAGATGTATGTGGGTGTGGGCATGTGTATAATGTGTGCATACATACACACAATCATAAAGTATTCACAATTACACAGCCCTGGACATGCAAAGTCTCACACAACTACATATGCATACACTCAACTAAGCCTGCACGTGCACATCAGTCACACTCACACTGTTTACACTCATCCCCTTTAGGCATAAACATGTCCACAGTTTGTCACACTCGTAACTTGTTTTGCATCCTCACATAATCATATTGTTCTACACACCCACAAGATAAAATACAGATGCAAAGACGCTCAACCACACTCATTCACACACGTTCCCACCCTCTGTGCGTACCTACACACATTCAGTGCTACCTTCACACACACCCAGCATGTTGCTTTGCAGGTACTAAAGCTTTATATTGTTCTGTAAGTCCTCCTAGGTCTTTTGTGTGACATCCTTGTTTCCTGCTTCTATATTGTTTTCTTGTACTTTTTGAATTTGTCTATATGGAAATTTTCATGGATATGCAAAATTAGTGAGAATAGTAAAATGAACCTCATCAACACATTACTCAGCTTCAACAATTATTTATACATGTTTAAATTAAACAATGCAACAGAGATTTAACATGTGCCAGTGCTCTGCATGTGTATGCTGTTGGAATATAGCAGGGGACTAAGGGTATGGCATAGTGCATGTTTAATAAATATTTGTTGAATTAAAATGTTTCAGGCTCTAGGCTGGCCTTTGGGTTAAATAAAGAATTAATAAGTCATTGTTCCTGCCCTTGGTCTGGTAGAAAAGGCATATATGAACACATAACTCATAAAGTTAAATGTTATACTAGAACAGAAGTTGGCACTCTACAAACCAGGCAGGGAAGGCAAGTCCAGTTAGTCATCTGTTTCTAGAAATAAAGTTTTATTGACACACATTCATTTACACATTATCTGTAGTTGCTTTTGCATTACAACAGCAGAATTGAGCAGTTGCAGTAGAGACCGTATAGTCCACAAAGACTAAAATATTTACTATCTGATCTTTTTCAAAAAATATTTGACAACCCCTGCACTAGAGGGCTGGGAAAGACTCTAGGAGCTAACCTGATGGTGCCTTGGAGGGGAAGTGGTAGTGGAGGGGGTCAGATAAACTACTCAGAGTGGCACAGGGACCTGAGTCTCAGAGGCAGAGTGTAAGTCTCCATCTCTCCCCTGTGTCCATGATCTACATACTTGGGCTCTTGGATAGGTGCTGGTTCACCCCCAGAACACACTCACAGACCTCCCTGCACCCCTAAATACGCATGCAGTCATTCGTTTCCCACAACAAAGAAGGACCTTATGTAGAGAGGGATGTCAAATACCAGGTATCCATGCCATGTTCACCCAAATGGTAGAACAGGTCTGCCAGGACATTCAACCCAAATCACCTTCTCATTGGCCTCAAAGACTGCATTCAGGAGCGTTGGCAGTTAAGCCAAAGGAGATAACTGAGTCGCAAAGCACAGACACATTAGATCAGGAAAGCCCCTCAGAGATCCCTGGGTCTAAATTCATCCTTCCCCATTTACATATGGGAAAACTAACACCGAAAGAGAGGTAGAGAATTTTCCAAGGTTGCATTAGGAATCGGTGGCTGAACTGGGACCAGATTCTAGGTGACCTAATACTTTTTTTTTTATCCTCACCCGAGGACATTTTTGCATTTTTATCTTCAGATAGAGTGGGAAGAAGAGAGAGGGAAAAACATCAAAACATCGATGAGAGAGGGCCGGGGACAAACTACAACCGAGGTACATGCCCTTAGCAGGAACTGAACCCGGGTCTCTCTGGTCCACAGGCCGACGCTCTAACTACTGAGTCAAACCAGCCAGGGCAGGTGACCTAATTCTTGAAGCAAAGTGTTAGGCATCTAGTGCAAACCCTTTACATATGAGAAAAACAAGTTTCAGGGAGGTAAAGATACTCAGAGTAACACTGCATGTTAAGGGCAGGTCTGGAGCAAGAATCCAGGACGGCTGAATCCCAGACCAGGGTTCTTTCAAAATAATTTAACTGTCTAACTCAAATGCCCAGAGAGAAGCCTATCTAAAATCCCCCAGGGGTCTTTCCATTAAGCCATCTTGCCTATTATGAACCACTCTAGTTAGTGCCTATTAGCAAGTGGAGGGGAGTGATAAGAAACCTGCCTGTCCCACTCCTCCCATTCCCAGAAGACAGCCTCTGCCAAGGGGCGGGGGTGCCTCCAGTGGTGCAGTCAGAGCATTCCTCCTTTCCTCCCTCCACTCCACATCTGGGCCTTCTGCACTCACTTTATCCCCAGTGAAGAAGACGATGTTGGAAATATCGGACAGATACATGTAAAAACAATAATGAAACTAAATGACCTTCTTACACCATATGCAAGAATAAATTCAAATGGATTAAAGACTTGAATGTAAGACTCGAAACCGTAAAACTCTTAGAAGAAAAGTTAAGCAGTAAAATCCAGGACATTTTTCCTGGTAATATTTTTTCTGTTTTCTGTTTTCTGGTGTGTGTGTGTGTGTGTGTGTGTGTGTGTGTGTGTGTGTGTTTTCCAGGGAACATGGACTTCAACTTAGATTACAAAACTAAGGTAGCACAGTGCGGGAGTGTATAAGCGTGTGGTACAAGTCTCTTCTGAATAGAGGGCCCTGGGAACAAGGAAAAATAACTGGTCTTAGAGTCGGGGGAATTGAATTCTAGTCCAGACTCTGCTCTGAGTTCCTCAGTGATCTGAGCAAGTCACTTTCCCTCTCTGGGATTTCACCTTGACCCCCAGGAGACATCTCCCTCCCTCTACCCCTCATCCTTTCTGTGAGGCCCAATGACCGGCCAGTTGGCCACTAAGTATCTCATCCTACCCGTCAGGTCAGGCACACAATTCTGGGAAATCAATGAAGTTTTTCAGCAGGAGGAAACTAACCAGCATGTTGAGCTCAAGCACGCAGTGGATCTGGGTGGTCAGAATAAAGATGTCGTGGGAGTACACAGCCATCATGGCTTCTTGGTACCCTGGGACAAAAAGCATCTCAAACAAGAGGCAGATGATCAAAAAGATAAGGTAGTCCCTCTGACAAGGTGGAGTGAGGGTTTTCTGGGCTGGGAAGCACAAGGGTAGGTGGTGTTTCTGTGGGCTGCGTGACTTTGGGCAAGACACCTAATCTCTCTGGTCCTCTCTGTACCCAGGAACAGTAGTTGCTGCCTAACCTGCCCTAGCTCTCCAGGTTCCTATGCGGAGTGGGGAAATAACATCTGTGAAAAGCTTGGGGTTCAGATAAAGTAAAGTCTGGTACAAGAGGAGTTGGCCCAGATTCGGGATCTTCTTTTCACCCACAGACTCCCTGGCTTCTGTCAGAGCTCAAATATCTTTATCTACCAACTTTTACCCCTCAGGAGTTAACCCTTTTTGTCTAAGACCCTCATTAGCTTGGAGATGAGACCAGTGGTAGCAACATGCAGCCAGAAACTTCAAGCAGAGACTGTTGGCATCCTAGATCTCCTGCAGGGATAGTCTGTCTTCCAGTTTCTCCAGCAGTAGCTGAAGAACTTTGGAGCAGACCCTGGAGTTGGCACCCACTGCCTTTCCTAGTTCTGCCTACAATCACCTTGGGTCCAGCAGCACCCTCCAGTGAGCCTAGGTCAGGTCCAGTGAGCTCCCAGGAACACACACAAGTTATAAAACGTTAGTTCATTTTCCTATTTATTCATTCCACAAACTTTCCCAGAACTCCTACACTGACCTAGACACTGCCTAGCATGAGAAACACAGTGGGACAAAGACCCAGTTCCTACAATAGAAGTGTTATAACACATATGCAAATAATCAAAGCACCCTCTATATCATTGTCACTTGTCCTTTTGGGAATGTGGCAGTGTTTAAATTAGTATATACTATATGGATATACATATGTAAGCGTGTTGTGTTAGAGGGAGGCACAGAGTGCTAGTGGAGTTCAAAAGAGGAGAAGCAGACCAGGTCTCAGAGACAAGGGAACCTTTTTGAACTGGGTCTTGAATGATGAGCGGTTTTCTAGGCAAAGGGGATGAAGGGCAGTCCAAGTGGAGGAAATGCCATGTGCAGAAGCAGGCCCAGAGGCATACAAGGACATGGTAGATTCCAGAATAGTGAAGGGTTTCATGGAGCTAAAATATGAGAGAGTGCGAAGAGGTAGAAAGTAAGGGCTTAAGGTTGAAAAAACTGGTAGATGCTTGATTATAAAGAGCTGTGCTAAATTTGGATTTATTTTTTCTGATGATTATGAGGAACCAACAAAAGTTTTTTTTATTAAAAGTTTGGTTTTTAAAGCAAACAGATTCCAGCATCTTTAATCAGGACTGAATCCTTAAGCCCTCCTTAGATCTATGTTTTTCAAACTTCAGGGAGTTTTGAAATAGACTTTTAAAAGGCCACCGTTTTTCATGAAATAGGAAAGAATTGATATTTTCAGAGTACATCACATGGTGAGTGTAGGTATTGTTTCATGAAACTTTTTTTTTTTTTTTTTTTTTTTTATCCTCACCCGAGGACATTTTCCCATTTTTTTGTTCAGGTAGAGTGGGAGGGAGAGAGGGGAACAGAGAGAGAGAGAGGAACATCGACGTGAAAGGAACACATCGAGTGGCTGTCACCCGCACGACCGACCAGGGCCGGGGACAAACTGCAACCGAAGTACGTGCCCTTAGCGGGAACCGAACCCGGGTCTCTCAGGACCGCAGGCCGACGCTCTAACCGCTGAGCCAAACCGGCCAGGGCTGTTTCATGAAACTTGTTTAAGGGATGTGTGTGTGTGTGTGTATCTGAACACACACCCATAAGAAGGGATATGAAAATATATTCCGATTTGTAGGTCTCTGTCAAAGTGTCTGAAAACCACAGCCCTAGAAGCTCGGATTCTGAGATGTGAGCAACTTCAAGCCCTTCTCTGTCATTCTCAGTCATCTCTGACCTAACTCTTTCCAGGAAGTCAGGTGTCAAGCTCAGTACTGGTCATGGTGGCAGAAAACTCCAGAAAGATAGGGATATGTTTTTGCACAGGTACCAAGCCAGGGGAAAGATGGCCTGTGGCCCAGCCTCCTTCACTTTGGTGAAGGAGAACTGTTGGTAAACCTGCTTGCCAGTGCCAGTCACCTGAAAGTGGGGACATGAGCTGGGCTTGAGGGAGATGTTCACCGCCTTCTACCCTGAGCCTTGCAGTCCTCTCAGAAAAACATGGATTCGTTTGTTTGTTTTTAAGTACTCTGTGGAGAGAGGGGATGAATAAGCAGAGCACAGAGGACTTATAGGGCAGTGAAAATACTGTATATGATACGATGATGATGATGGATACGTGTTCTAACCCATAGAATGTACACTAAGAGTGAACCCTAACATAAACTATGGACTTTACATGATTATGAGCGATACTTACCTGGCAGGGGAGATACCATGATCACGAAGGCGGTTTCCCCAGGGCGAGGCTTATCCACTGCACTCCGATGTGCTGACCCCTGCGATTTCCCCAAATGTGGGAAACTCCACTGCGTAATTTGTGGTAGTGGGGGACTGCGAAAAGAAAAAAAAAATGATTGTGAGCTAATATAATTGCTTATCTTTAATCATAATGAAAAAATTCAAATTAAAGTGAGATACCATTTTCACCTATCAGACTGGCAAAAATTAAGAACTTTGACAATACCCAGTGAGGTGATAATGTGGAGAGAGTCATTTTTTTTTTTTTTAATCCTCATCTGAGGACATTTTTCTATTTATCTTCTGATAGAGTGGAAGGGAGAGAGAGAGACAGAAACATTCATGTGAGAAGGACACATAGACTGGTTGCCTCCCGCACGACCCTGACCAGGGCCAGGGACAAACCATAATCGAGGTATGTGCCCTTGACCAGAATCAAACCCATGACTCCTTGGTCTGTGGGCCAATGCTCTAACTGCTGAGCCAAACTGGCTAGGGCGTCACTTTTTTTTTTTTTTTTTAATCCTCACCCGAGGATACTTTTTTTCCCATTTATCTTCATGCAACCTGGTACATGCCCTTGACCAGAATCAAACCCTTGACTCTTTGGTCTGCAGGCCGACACTCTAACCACTGAGCCAAACCAGCCAGGGCAAAACAGTTACTTTTATATATAGGAGGAGCATAAATTGGGCAATTTCTTTCAGGGCCAATTTGTCAATATTTATCAAAAATGTTAGGTGTGGCCCTGGCTGGTTTGGCTCAGCAGTTAGAGCATCGGCCCACAGACCAGGGAGTCCCGGGTTCAGTTCCTGCTAAGGGTACGTACCTTGGTTGCAGTTCGTCCCCAGCCCGGGTTGGGGTTGTGCGGGTGGCAACCAATCAATGTGTCTCCTCTCTCACGTGATGTTTCTCTCCCTCTTCCTTTCTCCCTCCCACTCTATCTGAAGATAAATGCAAAAATATCCTCGGGTGAGGATAAAAAAAAAAAAGGTAAGTGTGCATACCTTTTGATCCAACAATTATACTCCTAGGAATTTAGCCTGCAAATGTATCATGCCTGTTTATGGATATAAGAACAAGCATATCATATAATGTTGTTTCTAGTAATCAAAGATTAAGGGAGAAATCCCTAAATATTCATCATCTAGGAACTAGTCAATTAAAGTATAAATTCTACCTCCAACTATGCCTCCGTCAAAAAGAATGAGGTAAATATGTTTGTACAGATATGGAAAGTCATCCAAATACAGTTAAGTAAACAAAGCAAGGTAGAGAACAGTGTGTTTAGTATGAGTTTGTAGAAAAATAAAAAGTATGTTGTTCTATATAAACCGTAACATTTTCTGGAAGGAAAACACAAGAAACTGTTACAAGTGGGTACCTCCTGGGGAGTGAACCTGGCAATCTGGCTGTTTGTGCTTTTTAAATTATTTACTATGCTGCCCAGCTGGTGTGGCTCAGTTGGTTGGGCATCATCCCATGCACTAAGGGGTAGCCGGTTTAATTCTGGTTGGAGCACATGCCCAGGTTGTGGGTTTCATCCCCAGCAGGCAGCCCATCTTTCTCATATCAATGTCTCTCTCTCTCTCCCCCTCCCTCTCCCTCTTCCTCTCCCCCTGCTCTCTAAAAATCAATAAAAATATTTTTAAAATAAATAAATAAAAATAAATTATTTACTATGTGGGCATATTGCTTTTAACTTTTTTAAATGTTAATTTTAAAGTTACTTGTATCTCTCGCAAAAATCTGAGGAAGTGAGTACACTCCTGCCAAAGTGTTTCAGTGCTTGTTTTTGCCACTTCCTCTAGGCAGGGCTAAAGTCTAAGGGTGAATGTATGTTGGTCAAACCCCAAATAATACACCTTTCAGAACATTGACTGGCCGCCTCCTGCATGCCCCCCACAAAGGATTTGGCCCACAACCTGGACATATGCCCTGACCGGGAACTGAACCAGCAACCTCTTGGTATGGGGTCGATGCTCAACCACTGAGCAACACCGGCCTGGCATGTACCTCATATCTTTTATGGAGGTATTCTTAAAAGCAAGAAAGTCTTCTTTTTCTGGATTCTCACCCATGGTGGCAGAAATGCACAGAGGTGCTGCTGAACTCCTTGCCCTATGTGATTCCACTCTTCATAGTGATTGGGGGGGGGGGGTCTCTGAAAAAGATATCTTACCTTATCCAAGTGGTGCCCAAATACCTCAAAGATGCTGCCTAGCAGCCCTGGCCGGTTTGGCTCAGCGGTTAGAGCGTCCGCCTGTGGTCCAGAGAGACCCGGGTTCGGTTCCCACTAAGGGCGCGTACCTCGGTTGCAGTTTGTCCCCGGCCCTGGTTGGTCGTGCGGGTGGCAGCCACTCGATGTGTCCCTTCACGTCAATGTTTCTCTCTCTCTCTCTTCCTCTCTCTCCCTCCCACTCTATCTGTACAAAAAATGGAAAAATGTCCTCGGATGAGGATAAAAAAATAAATTAAAAAAATAAAATATTAAAAAAAAAAAAAAAAAGATGCTGCCTAGCAGCCATGTGAACATGGTAGATGAAACTATTCTGATTTTCAAGGAAGGCTGTCATGAAGCCCCTTGGTTGGAGCTGGTTGAAGTGCTCCCCAAAAGCCTGAGACAGCCAGGAACATTGGTGGTATGTGAGGAAGAAGTAGTCAGTGAATTGTCCTTTGGGAGGAAGTGGTGAAGGGTGCAATGACCTCTCTCAGGCTTACTGGCTCAAGCCTTAAGAGGTAAGGCTGCAGGGTAAAGGCTAGAAGGCAGACATTATCCTGTTTCCCTTCCCTACCTTAGCACACTGACTCAAAGTCTCAGAATGTTAGAGTGGCAAGGGGCCCTGCACAGATCATGGAATTCACTCCCTCATGTTATAGAGGTCCGAGAAGGGAAGAAACTTGCCCATGTCGCACAGCAAGTCAGCGGCAGAGCTGGAGCCAGAGCTCAGAACTTTTGGCTCCAAGTCCAGTGCTCTTTTCATAGTATCCGCATGTCCTAGCAACTCAAGGGAGTCTGGCTGAGATTCCACGGTTCCACCAAAGAACGGAAACTGGGTCACTCCAGTCTCCCAAACCTACATTCCTGCAAGTCTTGCTCATAATCACTATCTTCACAATTTGGGAGCTATTTTTAAATAACTTCCTAGACAGCCCCAGGAGTGCTGAATCAGTGAAGCTGACATCACTCTCCACCCAGGTCCTGCTAAACCCTGAAGCTTGGGATCAAGAGCCTGCTCTGAAACTGATATAGTAGGCAGTGCGCAGGATAGGAACAAGAGGCCAGGTTCTGAAGGTCACCAGGGTGGAAAGCCCCAGGTGCCTAGTGGGCAGATCTGAGAAAACAAGTACTGTAGGGTGGGACCTTGCCCCATGGTGACCTTTCCTCCCCTAGCATTCTACAGGTCATGTGGATTTAGAACCCCTGAACTTTCATATCTTTGGACTCTCCCCTGAACTTTTATCCCCTGGCATGTAGCTAGTTATGTGGTAGGTCGCCTTAGAGGATGAACAAGTGGGCCAGAGATAGCCTCATAAGACTCCCAAACAAGTCCTTGCACAACCACTCCCTTAAGCATTAAGCCCTCAGGACAATGGAAAAAAGCCTTGGGTTTGTTGATCAAAGAGACAGAGTTTTGGTCAAACTAGAGACGACATTTAGACCTCAGCTGTGTTTCAGCTCCAGGCCCAGAAAAGCAGAAAAACCAGAAGTGACACCATGGCTGATATCCGGACAAGAAGCAATGACTGATGACCCCCCCTACCCTAGCATCAACTAATCAGTAGAAACCTTGACCCTAAAAGGACACACCGGTAAAACTGATGAATATTCTATTGAAATCCACCCCTGAGACCTCCCCTAAAATCCCTGCCTTTGGAAAACAGATAAAAATCCCTTAGGATGAAGGACCCAGTGCACGGGCTCTCAGTGCACGGACTCGCTCTCTAATTCATTCTCATATTCTCTCTCTCTCTCTCTCTCTCTCTCTCTCTCTCTCTCTCCCTCCCTCCCTCCCTCCAGTGCCTTTCTTTCCATTTTCATTCCCCAAGGAGCAAACCTTTACTTTCTTTCTCCTAAGCTCCAAGAGCCCTTCTTTTGTCTCCATAACTTGCTTCCTGAGCCCATACAGCCTACCTGGCTCACTTCTTCCACAGCTCACTTCTTCTACTTCCGTAACTTTCTAAATAAACGTTTGCTTGTATTTGAGTTCCTTGGCTCTGAATTCTTTTCTTAGCCAAACTCAAGGGCCAAGGTCTAACATCTGGTGCCATTTGCTGTTGAGAAAATCTCTCGGTATCCTCTCTTGGGCTAAGCTCTCATGAAGGAGCTCTCCCTCCCCCCCAAAGTAAAGACTTCGCCCCCACCTTATATCTACCACACTGCCTAGTCAGAGATGAGGGTGAGACAGGGGTCAGGAGTTAAGGAGCTGCCAAGGCTGTGGCCCTCAGTCAAGTGACAAGAGGCAGCCTGCTCTGGCTTCCTTGCCCAAAGATAATTCATTTCTGGCCTCTGAGAAAGAAAAGGAAGTGAAATAGAACAGATCCCAGGATCAAAAGAGGGAAAGGGATGACTCCTTTAACTTAATGATTACTGTTCAAATTCCTTTCGGCTTCCCAGCAAAGGTTTTCACAACTGGACAGTCCAACCCCCTGCATGACAGAGAGAAGAGTGAGGCCCACCAAGGGGGAGGATTGGTGAGGAAGTAGCTAAGCCCCAACTGGAATCTTACCCTTCTGCTGCTGCACCCTGAGGGTGTACACATGAAACACTCCTTCCAGGGCATATAGCTGGGTTTCGTCCTCAGGGTTCCCAGAGAGCATGCCCCAAACAGCCACAGGTACCTTATCTTGGTGAACTCCATGCTATACTTCAGAGGAGAGACAAACGTTTCAGCCTTAGAGTGGCAGTTTTAAATGGGATTTCCTTAGAGAAACCAAAAGTGAATGTTTGGAGAGGAAGTCAGCACTCTTGTGTAGGGGGACTTAGACTATGGAAGTAGGCATTGTATA